ACGGAAAACTAAGAGATTACGCAGTCTGATTTATTGCCACACCGACATGCTGCTACACAGATAAACACCGACGCGATCAAATACCCATGCTGCTGTGCGGGTGAAAAAAATCAAGGGATGACACCGTTTCCATGTGTGTGGGCTGGGCACTTTGGACACTGATATGGCACCAACAAAATGTCACTCAAGCTACAGGCGGAGAGTACACCACCCAAGTCCACTTTTCTCTTTTGTTTTCTTGCGGCAGTGAGTCCAGTCACCGCAAAACAATAACCCAGCTGAACCGACGACGTGCCGAATGCCGTTGCCGGATGGCGCACACAGAAACTAACTGTGCCGACAGGAGCCTTCCTTCCACTGGCCGGGTCAGCCTTATACAGACTCCTCTGGCGCTACCTGTGCACTACAACGCGACCAAACAAACACCGAGCACCGCAGCGGACCACGACACTGCACGGTGGTATGCGGGGGCAGGGACGGGGGCAGGGCAGCGGGCCGCCCGGCGGCTCGCTACTGGACGGACACCGATCACCACAGCGAATCACACCGACACTGGACGGTGGTCTGCGGGGGAAGGCAGGCAGGGGCAGCGGGCCGCCTGGCCGCCCGCTGCCTGGACGGACCAGAGAAGCATGCCGCCGCGCACGGACTGGACATCAGATCCCGGGCACATCCCAAGGCACGTGACACTGACGAGCTCCGCGGAGACCTCTCCCAAACGGCGCTCACGCCGGCAACGACCGCGTCACCTACCACGTGACCGGCTCATGGGCACAGACGACGGGCTTGTGGACGGAATTTCATAAGCGTAACGTGCCGCGGCCAGTGTCCTGAAACCAAAGCTACAGCCCGGATTAAATCACACTGCTTGACGATGTCATTAGAAATATGCTAACTTGACATGAGATCTGGCATTTCAGGAGGGGACAAAACGAGTTTCATGGAGCTTAAAGCTTCATTATTGTGACACAAGCCTGCGTTCATAAGAACAGTTCCAACGGTAGTTTTGCTCCCAACAACTATCCACTGGTGGACGCGAACAAAAAATGGCATGAAAAACAAAGACGGCTTTGCTCATTGATACCAAACACAGCACCTCCATTCACGTGGATGTCATACACGCAAGACGTCCTAAGCTGGACTACGAACACGACAGAACTTGATCAAATGAGTGGTGAGACGTGCAGTCAAAATCTTACGCAACACAATAGTTTTTACATTTCACGTATGGAGCACGGAGAAAAATACCCATCCTCCAATTGTGGAATCACCGCATTTTAATCTACTTTGCCGAATAATGATATTCCTTGACTGGCAGGCACTGAAATGTGAACGTAAGAGCCTCCTCACCAGGGACATCAGGGAGGTCCGTGATGTGGTTCACATTTCCAGTGCGTGTCAGAGGAACAATATCCTCTACGTGCAGCGCGGCCGCACACTGAGATCCTTCACAGCAGGAGAATAGAGAAAAATAAATACGCGGTGCGCACAACATTTTCGACTATAACGTACGCCCCCATAAATAACTGTTTCTATTTTGTTTTTGGGTGCATCAGCACACAGGCTGGAATTGGCAGTGAATCAAGGGTGGGCACCCGATCCAACCAGAGATAAGAGAGCTAATCATCACCTACAGCACACATCAGCTTCAGGTGAGTGCTGGACATACAACAGACACTGTGAGCCGACTCAATGACTATCCTCGCCACCCAAAAGAGCCCTACTGCACAACCCTGTGACACCCCAGAGCACACAAAGCAAGACCCGAAGCTCACACATCCACCTGGTATTCCTGTGATGGACGACGCCACCCGGTGCAGATCGCGGACACCGCACAGTCTCAGAATACTAAGAGGCAGGCTCAACATCAGGTGCTGGGAAGCCGCGGGCGAAGGCGATAGGTGAGTGACAGCAGACCGCGGACGGAGACGACACCGAGTGTCGGGAGACCGCGGGCAGAGACGAGATCCAGTGTTGGGAGATCACGGGACGACATCCAGTGTTGGGAGATCACGGGACGACATCCGGTGTCGGGAGATCACGGGACGAGATCCGGTGTCGGGAGATCACGGGATGACATCCGGTGTCGGGAGATCACGGGACGACATCCGGTGTTGGGAGATCACGGGACGACATCCGGTGTCGGGAGATCACGGGATGACATCCGGTGTCGGGAGATCACGGGATGACATCCGGTGTCGGGAGATCACGGGACGACATTCGGTATCGGGAGACCGCAGCGGGCAGAGACGGCAGACGGCACGGAGGAGGAACCAGTGGACGGAGGCGGCTGGCGGTGGTCACCACTACTTACGCTTTATGCTCTTACAGACCCACTCCATACCCTCCTGAAACGCACCAACCAATGGTAAGGCGACATAGCAGGCGATCCGAAGATACTGCAACAAATTCAGATATGTCCGTATCGGAGCTTGGGCAGACGCGAAAGACTGCTACACAAATTGCTGAGGGAACGCAATTGATTTCAAGTATGATCAATGTCAAGATTTGGATGCGGCGTTGAGAGGACGGCTGACTCACGCCGAGAAAAGGAGCCATGCAACGACTGCATGCCAGACGCGGCAAAGTTGACTTCATGTCAAGGCCAGATGTGGTATCTCATCTACGAGCTTTGGGCTCCCGCCCCTCTCCTTTCATCTGGCGCGTGACCGCATCCGGTCATCACGGTACTCTGCGCTACGGCTCCGGAAGTTGCTACTGTATTGCGTGATGATTCCACAAAGCAAGGAATGCCGTTAATGTTATATTTATGAAAGACAAACGATCGCATACCAGTGCCGCACACGAAATAGGGGCGTGCGCAGTTCTTACTGTTCTGAATGGCAAATCGTGTAGGAGAACGTTTTCAATGAGACAGAACAAAAGCAAGAATGCAAAGTGGCTGAGTCACAAGCACTCACAGAAAGAGGAATTTACACCCTACAAAGGTTCTAGTAACAGCTGTCACGCCACCCTCACAAGCCCTCTTCCCCGGAATACAAACATACATCGGCGCTGGCCGTCGTTTGGCCAGGTTGCGGGTAAGCAGTCCTGGGCCGGCCGTCCCTTCCCTCCAGACGCCGGGCACCCACCTTAACGCCCTCGTTGGAGGAGGCCGAGCAGCCCTGGATCTGCCACTCGCGGTCGCGGATCACGTGCAGCCCGAGCGACTCGGCTATCTCGGAGGCAGGCGCTGAGTTGAAGAGGTCCTGCTTGTTTGCGAAGATGAGCACAGGCACACCCACCAGCTTGTCTTCGGCCAGCAGCTCGGCCAGCTCCTGGCCCGTCTCGTCGAACCGCTTGCGGTCGGCGCTGTCGATCACGTAGATCTGGCGCAACAGAGGTGCGCAGTCGGAAGCAAGCACGGTGCGCGCGCGCGTGCGCACGCACGCACGCCGAAATTATGGAGACATAAGCACCGCCATCAAAGTACTGAAAAAGCCTACCAGCCAATGACCGTAGGAACTGCGTAATGACAACTAACAAAGGAATAGCTGCACACTGTTTCCGTGCAAACGGACGCAGCGAGCCTTCTCCGCAGCGCAGCGGTGTTGCGCGAAGCTTAGCTTAGGCTACTTCTCCTGCTGTTTCTACTGACCAGAACGTCCGTGTTGTCAAAGTAGTTGCGCCAGTAGGGTCGGATCTTGCGTTGACCACCGATGTCCCACACGTTGAGCTTGAAGCCCTCTGACAACACCGACTTGATGTTGAAGCCCTGCGTGGGCGTGATCTGCGTGATGTCTTCCGAAGCGAGCGCCTTCAGCAGAGTCGTCTTACCGGCGTTGTCGAGCCCCAGCAGCAGGAGGCGCACCTCACGCTCCTGCGCCGGTCGCAGCTTACGCAACAGCGACAGCAGACCCTGCCAGCGGAACGGGACGACCGGCGTGAGACAACGGGCGGAACAGCGGCAGGAAACGGACAGCGTGGATATGACAATGGAACACGTCTTCTGGAGATCGCACGTTTACAAGGACCCATTCAGTTTAAAGTACTGCACACCCACCCAGACCCAAACCGTAAAATGGAATATTACGCTGTTAAAAATGTGATGTACCATACGGGGCGTCACTTTCTAGCATCGGGTGAAAGGGGGGGGGGGGGCTAGCCAAAAGCGTTGACCGCACGTGATATCAAAACCTGATTCCTGCTCGGATTTTGGTCACTTGAATTTGCCCGCTCGAGGGTTATTTTCTGAACTTCATATTTCGCGACTCTAATTTGTTTTCCCTGTGGAGGAATCACTGGCCATTTCAGGTTAATGAGAGCTGCCTTCTTGTGAAAGAGCCTAAAATGGGGTGCAAAAACAAGTCAGTAAACCATAGTAAGGGATCACCGATGGCTGCTGTTGTCCATGATCGAACTGTATAGCCACCACAGCCATGATCATGGGACAAATGCGGTTGTCACTATTGGGCGAATGAACTTCGGTCAGGGTCAAACTGTACTTTTAAAAGCTGTGTTCTTTATCCCGACCACTTTAAAACTTGCCAAACATTTGCAGATTAACTGAACATATGAAGAAGGCAGCATAAGACAAATATCAGGTATCTACAGGGTGCTATTTGATACAAAACATACATGATACTCAAAGTGATGTTTCGGTATCTGCTTCTTAGAAGCATACCAATAGTTGTGATCCTTGTCCTGTATTAAGTTGGCCTAGTATTTCGCCTTGCTTATACACACTGGGTGAGGTCAGACGAGCATTGGATCTCAAGCCAGCATTGACCGGCGGGGGGGAGGGGGAATACTGACCCCGCACGAAAGCATCCTTGCGTTAAACGTATCTTAAGCATCCCCGTCGCCTGCCCCATTTATAACGAACACCACGAAAAAAGATCCGCTCTGATCGAAATTTACAAAATTTGTGAATGATCCGGACATCGTCTGATCTATTTTGTGCGCGTGTCGCACAATATTCTGATCCTTCGACCTTACCCGCCTAGCGATTCAGATCACCCTCAAACACATGCTATTTGCAACGCTTACGAAGAAAAGATCAGTTCAATCTGCACCTGCAGCAGGATACATTTTACTATTTATCGAACTACTGCTGAAAGCCTTACCATCGCCGGTGCTGCGTCGGTGCCAACTCCGCGCGAAGGCGAGCGCCCGGAAATTCAAGCGTGTCGGTGCAACCGGCACGACTTGCACCCGCTCAACAGAATTTGGCGTGCCGGAAGCTGTTCTTATAGTGCAAGTGTGTACTCCAACGACGGAGTTCTTAACACTTTGAAGCGGCACTATTCGCCAACTCGTTAAACAGGCGCACACAAAACTGGGCCACCGATCTGGGCCTTCTGCTGCGATCACCGAGACGTAAACAACGCACCTGGAAGGATAGTAGTGAGGAATGTTTGTAAATAGTATATTAAGATCCACGTATAGTTCTGTTGATAGTACGGCCAAATTTGTATGCAAAAAAGTGTACGAGACCGTAAACAAAACTTTTATGATAAGTACGCTATCACCGAAGAACACATTATGTTAAATCTGCTCTTCTTGCAAAAATATTGATTTATTTCTCTATATACGGTCCGAAGCGTGAGGTCAATTGGCGCGAGGAGTACCATTCCGGTATTTTCTGCACGGGTGGACATTAGTATTGGCACAACCTTACATGAACAAGACTAATTGGTGAAAATGCTGGGCTTCTGCAGGCTTCCATGACATTAGCTGTTGCATTTGTATTATTTTGTAGTGGCATGATGTGGTGGTGTCATGGTTGCCTGGAGCAGGTTACAAATTGTTCCTTATCAAGTGGTTATGTTTGCATTCATGTTTGTCCCGTGCGCATATAATTCATGGACAATTGCCTGACTATTCTCAGAATGCCAAAGTTTTGTTTGCAAACTGTGTGGTGCTACAAAAGATGGTCAAAAACATCTAGGAGCTCAGCTATGTGATGTGAGTGGTCTCTTTAATTTTATTTTATGTATTGTGTTATGTAGTGGTATTGTCTGTATATGTTGCCAGAGGAGCAACACAACCTGGTGTATAAGCAATTTAAGTTACACTGGTCTCGGGATAGAGGGGTCAAAGCATGTCCAAGTATCAGAACCCATTATATCTAAGTGATATTAGACCAGTGGCCATGTGAATGTTTGTCAACCTGCCTAGTACAAGTGTTCTTTACACTGTGAAAGGTAAGATGGTGTGTCATCTTGTGTCAGCATGCCAGGATAATGCCAGGAGTAGCTGCATCCAGTCATAGTCAGTTAGTACAGATCACTCTACCCAGAATCAGGAGAAGTACCATTGGAGCCCAAATATGTGATGCAACTCACAATGGGTTTCAAGTTGGCCCCACAGGGTGTTTGGGATGCTTATTATTACTCCACCATTCATGGGGTAATTGTTATGTCTGATGCAGCAACCTGATTAAATTTTCACCTTTTTCAGTTCACCACCATCCTCTGGTTGCTTAGGAGTCATTTTCTGCTTGTTGTTATCATGCCATTCTTGTTTTACAGACATCCCCGCTGCCAGTGGGTTGATAGATGCATTGCCACAACCACATTAGTTATTAGTAAGTATGATTGTTGTCACATTGTTGTCATGGTAGACACTGGCCCCTGCATCTGGTTGAGTTTGTCAGGTTTCAAAGATGTGTCAGTAAAACCCAGGCAGTGCCAGCCACTATTTGGTGGGGAGTAAGCCCATTTCATACACATAACATTGTCCTGTCTGTCAAGGAGACCCATTTTGTTTCCATGTTTTGGGTGCTACCAACCTGGGCAACCAAGGCATATCATTGAATTAAGGTCACTAAATGCTGGCATGCTGCTCTGTTTGAGAATGCCAGACATCCCCTGAAAAGAGGGTTCCACATTTGTAAGGGGGTTTGAACTGAAGAAGCCATCTTGAAGATCATTCAGTATAGCCCACAGCATTGCCCTTCTTAAGGCCTAAAATCCCATAGTCCCTGAGAGACATGCCCGCTAAGTTAAGCATGCTATTTTGTGCTAACTTGTTCAAGGTCACCAGACATCTATGACGCCATAATAACGTCATTCAAATCCCACGCCTCCACCAGCCATGCTGCGTTCAGGGCCAAGAAAATATAATTGTCGAATCGCTCATACATAGCGTTGATGAGCACATTTTCCAGACATAACGACCGCCTATTCGCTCGCAACCAACGTCATGCAAGTTTTGCAAGAATCTGACATGAATGATGTTTAGTGCTACACAATGCAAGAACTTGTACATTTGTCCTGGTTGTTACGGGAATACGAATAGCGCTATAACCGAATATGCGAATGCAAGCTATCATCATAGCTCACGGATCAGTGTGCAAGAACACCACAGGAAAGGGCTAACTGGCACATAACCGTATTTGACTCAGCAAACACTTCCAGTCCATGCTTCCATCTCGCGGAAGATTGAATAACTACGAGTCAGTGTTCAAACGTTCCACGACACAAACGGTGCCGTATTGGGGAGGATATTTAATAAGTATAGAAATTTGGTTGCCCAGAGCAGTTTTCTGCACCTAAAAGTATACCAGTGTTATAATTAGTGTAACATAGGGGTGGAAGGGAAGTTAGGCCATGGGGGGGGGGGGGAACTTAAAGTAGATGACCTCCCGTGTCTGTCGGACTTCGCCGTCCCGTGTCCGTGCTGTCCGTCGTGTCCCGCACTGTCCGCCGTGTCGCGTTCCGTAGGGTAACGGGAGGAACCTTCCGTGTGTGTAACGGGAGGCTAGGCATATATTACATCAGGTTGTTTCATCATATCTGATGCTTGCTTCAATATCTTGAAATGTGTAACATTCCCGTGAAGTGTTGAAAAATTGCTTGACAAAATATATATGGTGCGCATAGTTTGTTCAGTTTGCCTCATCTTGGCAGGGCGAAAACTCCAGTAAATATAAACGCTATATATTTCATATCACTGGGCGAGAGTCAGTAACCTATGACACGCACCAAATACTCTCCTAAATGTCCTGTTTCTCTATGGCAACGGCGTTGCTACTGTAAAGAAATCGCTTGTAGATGCCGCTAATCACCACCATAAAGCAATACTGATGGTGGACATGTTAGCTGTAGCGGTCTCAGGACTCGGAACAGAACGCCCTTCAGGACAGCTCCAACGCATCCATTATCACGCATCCATTGTCAATACAGACATCAACCTTGCACTCCATATACTGTACTCCTGTCTTGGAGCACCTAGTTTCATTGCAGCCTCCTCGACCCTTACCGTTCCCACACACTGCACCTCGCTCGCGCCATCTACGCGCGACCACCGCCGACCACCTGGGGCCACCTGCCCAGAGGCGCTCACTTGGGCACATACTTGAGGAGCTTGACCTCGTGCGTCATCCAGACGGCCAGCGAGAGGAGCGTGAGCGCGCCCGTCTGGTGGGCCGCCGCCACCGGGGTCGGCACGTACAGCAGCAGCGTGGCGATTCCCAGCGTCAGCTGGCCGGCAGGCGCGGGGCGTCAGACGGCGCGACAGTCAAACACACGGCGGACAAAACGGGATACGACGCGGCGGGCAGCGCGGCCACGACCCGGCGGACAGCGCGGGACATGGCGCGGCAGACAGCGCGGAACATGGCGCGGCAGACAGCGCGGAACATCGCGCGGCGGACAATGCGGGACACGAAACGGTGGACAGCGCAGGACAAAGCGTAGTGGACTGTGCGGGATACGATAGGCTGACAGGCCGGCGGACACGGGATGGCAGACAGGGTAATGGGGGATACAGAGAGGCAGGCGGGGTAATGAAAGCCACACGGTGGGCAGTGACAGGACACGACAGTGCGACAGACGAAACGCATGGTAGACGCGTGGTAAGTGAGATGATAGACACAAGTAGGATGACAAATCACGACTCCGCGGTGCCCGCCCTTCGTGTCGGGGTGACAGCGCGTGCGACGGCGCACAGCTTCAGGTGCTGAGTGTAGTGTGAAGCCCTAATAACAACACAAAACACCGCATGACAAACGGATTACGTAAAACAATACAGAATGCAGCAACGGAGACCGCAACACTGCGCAATGCGAGCTATATCGCGCAATAGTGCGCACGGGAAGACACGATGTAACAGCGAGCGTAATGGGAAACGCTATCACGCGAGGCAAGCCGCTGTCTCACGGGATCAAAGGAGCGAGGCGGTGACGGTAAGTCAGCACACTCAAGACTCACCAAGATGCGCGTCTACGATGAACGAGATACACGTAGGCAATGTTGCTGTTCCACGTAGCAAGATTATTTAGCGTCTACCGAACACTGCGTCCCACGCGCCAATGTGCCAATGCGTCAAATTGCCGAGTCAAACGGGCTGTGCCATGTATCCTTTCCCGAACGTCGGATACAGCCTATATCTGCGCTCGCTTCGTGCAGTGTGTCACCGAGCATGAGCCTGTTGGACAAAACGCGCGCCCGACACAATGCATTGAAGTTCACTTACTTGTATGTAGGTCATGACCAGCATGGCGTTCACTGCCATGTGCGCTCTGGGAGGCAGCCGGGCCTTTCGCGACAGGTACCACAGCCCATGGACCAGGCCGAAAACGGTGGTGCCCTGCGCGACCAGAGTTTGATGACCTTGGCGCACGCAACGGGTTACAACGACGTGCTCGCGTTGGAAAACATCAAGCGGTTCGCAAGCGCAAAGCTAAACTCAAGAACGTCGCCTCGCTCAACACTTACTTCAGCTAATGGTGTCATTTCTGAATTCCGTGTCAGAAACACGCTAACACCTCAGCAGAGGATTATTAAAACGCGCCGAACACTTAAGGAGATGATTGTGAAGATAACGAGAAAGGTGCCGTTACGCACGGCACTGCATATCGTTTGAACAGCATAATTGCGCCCCTACGTTTCGTACGTTGTCCAGCAGTCCCAAGGACACTAATATTGCCGCGCGAAGGACAGGTGCCTCTATATGATCGAGCAATCCATGCTTAGGTTTCCGCGGCGGTGAACATAGCACAACCCAGTTACGATGCCGCTGGACGTCCTATCAGAACGTCCCTCACAACATTGCCATTCATGTAAACTTGAAGGACCACAGATGACTCAAAACATGCCAGGCCCGGGCTGACCGCCGACCGGCCTACCAGCACTCTGTGGTTGAACTGGACGGTGGTGGGGTTCTCCGTGATGTTGGAGAGCGCCGGCTTGTAGGCCATCAGGTCGGACGGCACCAGCCGGCCGCCCATCAGCGGGAACTCGTTATAGGTCAGGCCGGCGTCCAGGCCAGCCACGAACGCTCCTGTGACACAACCAGGTCATATGGAACAGCGGCGGTCTCACAACCAGAGCCATCTTAGAATGCGTTCTGATTGCGCACCCTGTGCAGAGCTACCATGGCTACGATGGCTGAGCAGAGCCACCAACTATTGTACTCTTTTGAGAGAGGACGAGTTTTCACACGTAAATTTGGCGTTTGAAATGTCTGAAATGCCACTGCTGACGCGTTTAAACAGCAAAGAACCACGAGAACGAATGAACCTGTTAACAACCAATTTTAACACTCACTGATAAAAATAGGGGGGGGGGGCGATACGTGGTCCCAAGATACCACAGTCGATGTCACCCCTCTTCCACTACTACTGACTGAGGTTTTTGGCGATATCCTCTGGAATGTTGTGTGATCGTTGTGCAAACTGTTGATTGGTATCTAGGTATTCAATGCACGTATTTTGACACAAAGCACGTAGCTCTCGCATCTTTGTTTTCTGAGCAAGGGACGTTTGGTTAGGAACACTGCACGGTAATATATGGCCAGCGCGGGCGGCGGATGACCACAGTCTCTTCTGACGAGCACGGGTGGCTGGGCGACACTGTCACACTGACGGAACACAGTCGATTCTGACGAGCACGGGTGGCTGGGCGATACTGTCACACTGGCGGAACACAGTCGATTCTGGCGAGCACGGGTGGCTGGGCGATACTGTCACACTGACGGAACATAGTCGATTCTGACGAGCACGGGTGGCTGGGCGATACTGTCACACTGACGGAACATAGCCGATTCTGATGAGCACGGGTGGCTGGGCGACACTGTCACATTGACGGAACACAGTCGATTCTGACGAGCACGGGTGGCTGGGCGACACTGTCACCCTGACGGAATCCTACATCTTCAACACGTGCTCCAAATACATAGAACCAATAGCTTCTTTATCCCTGCACCGAACCTCAAATCGATATGTTCAAAGTTAAAGAAGGAAGATGCATGCGTACATTGTATGTTGCCAAGTTGTGTTATGTTATACATATCGCGCAAAGCTGAAGTCAGATTTTCAGCCATAATTGACCCCTGACCTGACACGACGAGTTTGAAACCAATTACGAGATTTCGCTGGAGCCAATCCACGCTTTTTCGAGAGGCTCATCATTCTTAGCTTGGACCGGACAACGTGTCGGGTAGAACCGAGCACTCTTTCCATTCGAGTTATACAAAATAGCGAAACCAGCGAGGGTTAAGAAAAACAAGAATCAAAGGTTCGAGCATTGCACATTGTGCCAAGCACGTGTTCGTTGAAGTAGCGACAGTCAAAATAATAGCAACAGCGTTCCCTTCAGGAGAAAACAATGATAAAGCATCGACGGCTTAACGGAGAGGACGGCGCTGAAGAGGGTCCCCAGTAAAAACTGTACGACGCTGGACCCCTCTCGGAGAAGTTAAAGGAAGCGACGCACTTTCCCGACGAAGGTAGCTGGTCAGACGGAGCCCTACCGGAGAAGGCGGCGAGGAAGATGAACCCCTTGCTGACGTGCGCCATCATGCGGACGCGTCGCACGGCGGTGGTGACCGGAACCTTCTGGGCCGGCAGCAGGTGGTCCAGGCCGTTGTACAGGAACAGCGTGGCCAGCACGAGGGCGGCGCCCAGGTGGGCGGCCAGCCTACCGGACAGGGCAGGTCACGGACACGGTCACCGCGGCTGCCAACGCAACAGCACGACAGCGTGATGTACAAGGTGACCATCCTACGCGGTGGAGTGACTCACAGATGCACTCCGTACAGCAGGATAGGGCACTGGACCACGCCAGCATCTGCCAACACAGGAGAGATCCGCGATCTGGCTTAGAGCCAGGGCACAATGAATCACGTCAAGTTTCCGGTACTCTCAGTCGCGCTTGGCCTCAGGCGTCGCCCAGACGTCAGTCCGAAGTGCCGACCGACAGCTGACGCGTCAGGTGCTGCAACACCCTGGGTACGTCCTCACCGGTACTGCGACACCCTGGGTACGTCTGAAGGGCCCTCAAAGTTCTTGTGGTCCAGACCGGACTTGACCATGTACCAGCCCATCAGTCCCTGTCAAGGACAACAGAGAGATCAATGATGAACACAATCGAGTGTACATCACGTGGATGACTTCCTACCTAGATGCGCCAGAGAGTCATCCCTCCGGCCCAAATCCTCCTGTAATGTCCCACCCGACTCAGCCCATCGTCCCTCACCTGTAGCAGAATCAGGGACCCGAAGACGGGGACGCGTCGCCTCATGGCCTTGGTGAAGTAGCCCTTGTACCAGAAGTAGACGGCCGGCAGGGCGAACGTGGCGCCGATCAGCCGGCCCCACATCCGATGGCCGTACTCCATCAGCCAGATGAACTTGAAGTCAGACATGCTGATCTCCTGATTCTTGCTAAAACCAGTCAGAAGGCACGCAACCAATGCTCAGAGTGAAATCGCGGTGCAACGCAATGTGACGTCAACATTGAAGAAAGTTAACACAAAATCGTTCCTGCAGCATTTCTTTTGAACCCTGTTAACGGTCGTTTGCCCATCATTGAACAAGTCACTTACGACTGAGCAATGATGTTCCCGCAGTTCATCTTGTGCTGTGTTACCAATGCGTATATTCTTGGCATGCGAAGGCGAATCCATTAAACATGACCTGATTGCAACATTCAGAAACCCGCCCGCAGCCTGCGTCATGGACGAGTAATCTCATTAAAAGCTTATATCGCCCAAAATTGGCACACAATAACTGCCATTAGTTCTCGAAAATCGCCGTCATTGCATTGCAGCCATATCTGCATTAGAAACGGCAGCATGAGGACTCACAGCTGGAACTCCGGGTAGTGTCTGTACTTCTCCAGCTCAGCCTGCCACTCGACCTCCGACTGGGGCCAGGTCCTGCCCAGCAGCTTCCAGTCGACCATGGAGAGGCCGGACTCGGTCAGACGGGTCACACCACCTGCGGGTCAGGTCCAGAGGGTCGGTCAGGCAGGTCCAACGCCTGCGAGTTTGGTCCAGAGGGTCGGTCAGGTGGGTCACAATTTAGGTCCAGGAGGTTGGTCGGGTGAGTCCAACACCTGTGGGTTTGGTCCAAAGTCGGTCAAGTGGGTCCACAACCTGCAATTCAGGTCCAGAGGGTCAGTCAGGTGGGTCCAATGCCTATGGGTCAGGTCCAGAGGGTCGGCCAGTCAGGTCTGCCAACTGCGAGTCAGATTCAGAAGGCCAGTCAGGTCTGTTGCTTGAGGATCAGGTCCAAAACGTCCGTCTGTTCGGTCCGCCACATGTGGACCGGGTCAAGCGATCGGTCGGCAAGCACACATCACCACGTCATCACTGTACGTCATGGCACTCACCCAGCATCACGGCGCCGAACACCATTCCTGTGCAGCCCATCAGCCACATTCCCACGGCCTTTCGGGCGCCGGCCGGCAGTTCGGCAGCGGTTGCAATGGTAGATGTGTGCCTGGCTGCATGCCCCACACCACCCTGAGTGCGAACACAGGCATAAGGTCGTGAAGACATGCATTTTTGGTAACACATTTCTTTCCTGACAATTCATTGCGAGTGTTTGGTTTTGAAATATCATTGGACTGGTCTTCACTGCAGAACTTTCTTTGCCTCCTAAACAATGCAACATATTTCCTCCTGTGCATTGTCATATTGCACGATGCATTTCTGCCACAAAAAATTTCATGTAAAAATTGACCCTCCACACAAATGCCTAATTCAGTTGGCTTCATCAACTGCCTCATGACCAAAAGCTAGTCACCTGGACTTGACTACTTTTACTGCATACCAAGAGTTCTTCCCAAAATACAGTAAATTTAGCTGTGGATAAAAATTCTCCTTAACAAAGGATCAACAAATTTGCATAGGAGCTAAGTACACATGCACCAACAATTAAAACATTTAACACTGGATGCTAAATAATGGGCACTTGGCAAAAACAGAAATTTTGTACACCAAGCCAGGCACAACAAAGCAATGTGGGTGCCAACAGCACAGCTGCAGTTTCATTAACCAGCAAAGGGGGGGGGGGGGGGCAAGTGAAAATGACTAAAACTATGCCATTTTCACACAGTCTGATTTAACCTATTTCCCTTTTATAGGGTGGTGAACTCAGAGCAAAGCTAGGTGAGATGGTTGGGGGCTGAAGCCCTCCTTCAAGATACAATACTAGATCCTGGCCTGCAAAAACAATATGAAATAAGACATTGCATGCAAATGTACAGAAACATGTCAGGTGGTTTCCAATTAATGGAGAGAATTACAGCAGTGGCAATACAAAAAAACAGTATGCCAAACACTTCTATTTTTTAAGTACCTCCCAACATGTGCAGTGCAAAGTGTTCAACTCTGTCCAGCTGAATTTTTTCATGTATGACCTGTACACTTTGTGAGATTTCTTAGTCTAGTGGTTTTGAAGGTGGCCAGTTCTCAGAGCAGGGATGGAGTTTCCAGACCTGACATTTACAAGTTAATAAAGACTGGAGTATTCAAAATGGGAATCAAAATGCTGCTGTGTACATGTAACATACTCATACTTACTGCAACTGCATTTTTTGGTGCAGTTGACTTCCCAAATGCATTGTAGATGGATGAGCTTGTCCAGCCTTTGCCTCTACAAAACTGAAACATATCACATTTCACTGAGCATGGATGGCTTTCATACAAGTCCTTGCAACCAGAATCTGTATTTGCAGTTGCCAACTGAGAGAACAAAACATGTAGATCATTGCCAAAATGACATTCAAATTGATTTTCCACTGTGATCACATCCCCAAACCAATGGACAATGAGTTGACATCCTACAGCCAATATGTCTAACCTAATATCTCATCAATTTTTCTTCTCAAACATGCTGTGGTCAAGCTGATGATCAATCCTGCAACCTCTGCCTCTGTTGCTCTTTCCCTCTCCTTGCCTACCTTGTGTGATAATTCCAAGACAATAAAACCCACCAGGACAGTAAAATTCACCTCAAAATAGTGAAACTGAAAGTCTTATCTTATGAACCAAATCTAGTTTACAGCAGATAACTACAATTCAGCAACCCAAATTAGGGTTGGCTAATATTGGAACCATTATGAGACAGCACACCAATCTCCAATTGCTCAAAATGACAATTCTTACCCTCAGCTGATGAAAAAGCCGAGTTGGCACTCTTGATCCAGCATGGACAAATGGTGACATGCAAAGTTTACTGAAAATCATTTTTTGGCAGAAAAGCCTATGCTTATATAACTGACTGTGAATCAACCAGCCTGAAACCAGTGTTTCAGGCAGTATTCAGGGTGCAGGATGCAGGTTCGAGTCAAGGGAGCCTCTAGCTTGAGGTCTCACTCACAACCACCAAAACACCGAAAGATCTGTGCGGTCACTTTCCGGCTTCCCTAGTGGCTGACGCAATGACCTCAGCCCGGCCGCCGCTAAGGGCTCGCCGGGTGGCGGTTTAGATAGTCAGGAAGATACGCGTTTCCTCTTGCCGAGAAAAATAAATGTACCACTTACAAAAGTTTGCGTTGTTTCTATGCGAGACAAGCTAATAATGACCTACAGAGCACTTATCCTGTAACGAAAGCTAGAAACTGGGCCCACGTTTTGTTTACTGAGGTAAACCCCCGCTTACGCCCGCAGCGACAACGGAACAACTCTGCGAGACGAACACGCCACAAATGTTACATTACCGCCACAACTGCAACCAAACCTATTCCTCAAGACTTCCAAAACTCGCATATTCATATACACATCCGCTCCACGCCGCGAGGAGCTCTCCTTGGCGTGAGCACTGCGTCTCTGAGATCGGAGATACACAGTTGCCTGGCCGGTGTGAGTCGATGGAGTTTACGATCCTATTGAAAACACGAATGACGCCGTAGATTCGTTTCGCGTGGCGGCTTGCAGGGCTTATTCCTGGGAGCGGTGGCTACAGGATCTGCCCTGCAGGGGGCTTCAGCACGTGCTGGTCGGAGAACGAGCCCGACGAAACCCGGAGACAGTTCGACAGCAGCACGCACTGTGGTATCTGGGACCAGATCCGGGACTGCCTCCTGCGCGGATAGACGGCGAGTGGCTAAACATTTGACCAGGGGGCGAAGGTGATGAAATCATCCAGGAGGCAGTTCAGCTGCTGCCATTTCAACACCACAAACACTGCAGTTTGAAAGACTGCAGTGCCAGGAACCGAGTCCGGCATTGGTTCTGGCTGGGAAAGGCAGATGGCCAGGGATTTGTTTGCGCGGCGCTTTATGAGGGCAAGGAGGAGATATTGGAGAGGGTTAACCGTGAAGACGCATTAGGAAATGCGGAGTCTCACAGGCATTTTACATGCATGAGTTGTTATTGACGTCATCTCCTGCGCACTTTTACGCCCGTCATTTCGTTCGCGATAAACGATGTCACTTTCTGACCGTTTTAACCATCAAAAGTGTCCCTTTGTACCATCCGTTTCAATTGCTTTTGCACTTATTCCTCGGGGCTATCCTTCCTCGACGGAGGCCGATCCAGGCTCTCGGTTAGCAGTTTCCCAGCTGCGACGTTTCCAAACTCATGGAGTTTCTCCTGATGTCCCCTTGGCTGGGGTCATTCTCCTAAATCCACTGTAGCCGTTAGCTCAGCGGCGATCGGGTTCCCCACGTCAACTCCGGACTCTCCCCCAACGCCTCAGAAGCGATGCCAGCAGATCTTCCCTTTACACAATAGAGACCGCTCCACAACGCAGTCTTCCCTGACCGGCTGTTTCCCCAGTGGACGTTCCACACCAGCACATTGGTATCCTGCAGCAGCTTGTCTGCAATTGTTCAGCTGTTCCTCCCAGCGGCTGACGCTCCGCGCCAGTGGATACCATTCCGACGCGGCCAGTGACTTCACCTTCCTCCAGTAGCGCAGGCAGGGGGCATAGGGGATACGTGTCCCTCCCCTTAGGTTCCGAGGGGCCTGAAGAGTCCGTCGGAACCTACGATTAAGGGCCGATTTGAGGGTTCGAAGGGCCAGAAAAGCCAGCCAGGAGTGTTATTCAGGGGTCCCGGCCCACAGGGCCGAGCCTCAGATGCCAGCCTCAGTGTTTACATTGGTCGGGGGCCTTGTACCTGTCAGCGGCCCACAGCGCCTAACAGAGAGCCATGTGCTCTCAAGGGCCCCGAGCCGATCAAGGAAAGTGTTTGATAAAAACCGGAGAGGGGCCCGGGCGGCCCACCGGAACCGACTATCAAAGGCCCAGTTGGAGGGCATGAGAGCCCGAGGGACCGACTAGGTTACATGAGGAATCCCGGCCCGTAGGATGGTGAGCTGAAATACCAGTCAGAGGTTGTACCGTTCTAGGAACCCGTGAGACAATGCGGGTGTCTAAGTCGGTTGGAGATCACGAACACCAAACAGTTGGCTCGATGTCTGTCCGAGTCACTGGGACCCTTTTCCCAAGCAGAAACGAGGTCGGGGTCCGCGACTTGCAATGTTCGGGTCCCCTGACACAATGATGACACAAATCCTGTGTCGGTTAGGGACCACAGTGCCGAACAAGTGTCCTGTAGCAGCAAGTGGCCTCGAGTCGGAGTGGTGTTTGAGAGGCCACGAAGAGGTCTCTCGAGATAAAAAAAATCAAAGAGGATAGTCTCTCAAAACATCCACACTTCTTCCCCCCTCACCATCTCAGCGCCGACCGCAATCCCCTCCCCACCGCGCGGTGCCGCGACAAGCAACTGCTACGAAGCAGGCCGGTGGCGGCTAATATGCGACGTCGCCAGCAAAAGCAATGGCGGCGACCCACCGGCGGCTGTCGTCGACACGGCGATGGCCATCGCAGTGTGACGCGAAAAGCTGCCTGTGTAAACTGGGCCTCACGCGCCCCGCGCGCCGCAGACGCATCGTACCTGTTTGTCCGGCATGAGCCTGTGAAGCCGCCGCTGTCGTACCCCTGCGACAGTCCCTTCCTGGTCGTAAGCCGCATGGAGAAGACCAGTCACCGTCGACCGCGTTACTCGCCAGGACACCGTGTCCGTCGACCGCGTGCAGCCGGCCTTCGTAGGAGATGGCCCAGCACTACTGACCGGAAGACACCTCCGCTCTCTGCCGGTGCGGCAAACAGCGCCTCTGCCGTAGGCGGTGCCATCAGCAGTATAGGCACCGTCGCTGCAAACGCGTCTACCTCTGGCATCGCTAGATGGCCCCGTTCTTGGGCCAGAGTATGGTTTCGTTACTTATCATATTGTTGTCGACTTTGCCAGATTTACCTGCAATCATTTGTTGTTGCCTAATTTATTTCTTTGCAGTACCAGAGCTGGTTCCATCACTTGAAGTCTGTCATTTGGTTACTTGCTTCCTAATGTCTTGTATGTTTTTCCTAACATCAGCCCAGCTCTGTTTTCTTCCTCTTCTGCCGCAGTGCACGCTCGCGATGGTCAAGCGACTCGCCGCTCCTCCGTGAAGTCCAATGCATCATGGCTCGAAGTGAATACTTTAACGTTACCGCCTTACGCAGCAGTAACGTCCCATTTTGATGCAATTAATTATACTATGAGAAGTGTTCGGAACCCTGCACTGGATGACGTAGCTGCGGTTTTACAGCAAAGATGTGCGATGATCGCCTGATCTTGTGGCATGCTGGCCCTCAAAAAGAATGCTCCACATCTGGAGGTACTGAAGCATGCGTAAGGCACGGCGAAGCAAGCTCACTTGCTGGTATACTTCTAAGTGGGAAAGCCTGCCCTAGACCACACATTTTTTTCTCTCAAGTAAATACGCACCTCAATGCGTCATTGTTATCGTAGCTTGCGCTACATTGATTCAGAGCAAATTGACCGATATATCTGAAAATCGTGCTCACAAACGCCGGATGAGCGACTCGGCAATTGTATTTTTCCCGGTCGTGATCATGGTCTTGGTCTGTACACCAGACCCCATTGCCTGGCCATGAAGGCAGCATCAGTACGGCTGGAAACGATGTACATCTGTGCCATGTATTCGTGAGCAGTGCCAGCAGAGCAGTCAGTTGCACACAAGCCCACTACGTTCATCGGCTCAACACACACGCAGTCTCACCGATCCCCCCAAGAGACCTGATCCGCACCCGCCGCCTCACTCGCGTAGGAGCAAGTACAGACACCGGACCAATCCCTCGCGAGGTCTCGCCGTACTCTGGGGCGGCAACGGTCGCTCCTGGCAGCGGCAGACTCCACCTACCCCCCCCCCCCCCCCGAGGCTCTTTGCCACTACTAAAGCTGTATGATTTACACGTTCGTAGCGGTGTTCCCAGCGAGGAGCTTGGACGACACACAGCTGGGCAGCTAACGCCCGATGGTCCCGAGGTTTCGCCACGAGATCTGAGCGCCGCGTGCGAATGTGAGCCAAGCGCGTACCGTGCCCTGATCCCTCGCCGCGACCCGTCGCGGCACAAGCCGGCGGAAGTAGCCAACGCACTGTGGCTGGAATAGCGCAAACGTGCTCTGGTCCCACGTGAAATGTAAGTGTGCAACCGTGCGAGAACGTACCGTGCACCAATGGACCTCGACCCAGGAGGGAGAAGCGCGGGGTGCCGCCACCCCAGCGTCGCCCCCGTCTACAGCACATGTTCAACTAAAACCCTTGGTGCATCACTCCACTGGAGGCCCGCAGGGCGAGCTAGCGGCCACGCAGTGCCGTCGATCACAGACCAACCGCGCGCACCGGCCGCTGACCGGCATCAGCACTGCCCACCGGAGCACAGTCGCTCCGCCCACGTGCCCTGCACTCACCTCAGCCGGCTCGCTCCACAAACTTGTCACCACTGGGCAGTTCAGGCACAACCCCGCAGGTCGCGAAGAGGACAACAGCTTTCAGACTCTCTCCCCTCCCGCACATGTAGAAGGTGATGGGTGGTGACCGATGCCCCAGCCGATCTGCAGGCTCAGCTCGCCGCAGTCGACTCGTGGGCAGAACGTACGCGCAGGAGCGCGGAGGCGTCAGATAAGTTGCACATGATTGTACCAGCCACTGATATCGGTATGAGAAATGAGTGGAGCAGAATACTTCGTCTTATAAACATACAAAAACACAATGGTCTGCAAGCACTCTAGCACTTTCATCATGGTGAGATTTGACATATGTACGCACAGTGTGTATATAAACCGTCGTATAAACGTATACAAAGTATAGAGATTCAGGCGAGATGATGCTCCAGCACCGTGAGATTCGCTGAGCAAACTCTAGTTACAATGGGTGGGTTATGCGAGTACAGTAGGGACTCAGCCTTGTGACAAATGGACGGCGCGTTTCCCATCAGTTGGCGTACAAACGTGATGAGGGACACTGCCGGACACAAAGAGGACGGAACGGTGTGTGCAAAACAACTCCCCAAGCGCAAAAGCCGTAAAGTTTCGGCCGGCACACGCTACCACTACACTCGTGGGTAATCATCATCCACCTGATGGAAATCTCACCCCGAAAGGGACAGGAATCACCACCAGCACAGCACGCTACAAAAGCCCACACAGCACCAGGACGACGAGGCATCACACCACACAGCATCCAAACTACGGGGCTCCAGCACCGAGAATAACTGGTCCGCCCGCCACCTCCGCCTCCTGCTCCCCTCCTCCCCGGACCGCTGCCGCAGTGAGTCTCCGTGGCCGGGCCGCCGGCTGGAGTCCTGGAGTCCCTCGGGCCCGTCCGGAGTCGGCAGGCCGCGCTACTGCTGCTTGCAATTGGCGCCATCGCGCCCGCGGCGGCGACGGGCCTTCTCCATCGAGTTGCTGCGCCGCTGGCCCTGGATCGGCATGTAGGGCGGCGCCAGCTCGTCCTCCTCGTACAGGTCTGCCGGGCCACCCCGTCGAACGCGGTCAGCTCAGATCAACTAGGGTCAGATGGGCCAGCTCGGGTCATCTGGGGTCAGTTCAGGTCAGGCGGGTCAGCTCAGGTCACATGGAGTCAATACAGGTCAGACCGAGCCTGTAGCTTAGGAGGGTCAGCCCAGGTCACACGGGTCCGTGCAGGTGAAACGAGGTCGATACAGGTCGCATGGATTCAATACATGTCAGACTGGTCAGTACAGGTCAGATAAGGTCAGCTCAAGGCAGGCGTGATCAGTGCACTTCATATGGGGCTGGCACACTTCACAGGTCACATGGGAAGGTCAGCACAGACCAGGCGGCGACAGTACAAACCAGATAGTTAGAACAGGTTAGACGGAGGGGAAAGGGAGAGTACAGGTGAGCACGGGTCAAACACCAGCGCGGACTGGAGGAGCACCGGTGGAGGCGGGCGGCACGGATCACAGGAGTGAGGGGGGGGGGGGAAGGAGGGAAGCAGCAAGCCAGGAGTACATGACTGGCACAAGGTTGTTACGACGCAGCACGAGGCAAAATAGAGCTCAGCTCGTGTGGCACGGGACCCAGAGCACAACATGACCTCATGTCAGCGCGTGCCAGCCCTATATGCTGGCTACAATACACCGAGACCTCGAGGTCACACGTGGCGAACGCAACCATACGTGTCGACCAGTGCATCCTAGTGTCTTCCACACCATGAAACGGGGAGTGGGTGTGGCGGCCCCCAGATCTCACCGTCCAGAGGCGCGAGCTCGGCGGCCGGCGGCGGCTCGGCCGGCAGCGGCGGCGGCTCGGACGCCTGCCGCCGCTGGTAAGTCGGGTCGATCACCATCGCGATGTTGCTGACCCCTGGCGGCAGCGCAGGCCCGACGCTCAGACGGGCGGGAGCCCAACAGCCAGTCGGACGGGGGCGACGGTCAGACGGACGGGGGCCCCGACGGTCGGACGGGCATAGGCCCGACGGTCAGACGGACCGGGGCCGTCGGTCAGAAGGACGAGGTCCACAAATCGGAAGGACAGGGCCCGACGGTGAGACGAACAGGCGCAGTTGGTGAGTGCTCCCATGCCATAGCATTATGGTCGGAAAACAGCGACAGTACACGCTGCAGAAATAACGCGCCAACAATCTGACGGAGCCATATTTTACTACCTAAAATTATTCACATTTCAGCTAGCGCAACGCCCTGCACGGCACGAGACAGATTAGGTGATAACACACGTGATGATAACCCATCGCTGAGTAAGATGCTAAACGTGAAAAATTAAGTCTCACGCAGTTATAGACGCGTCTAGAAGACTGAAAATCAATTCATTGCTAACGGGGTGTTTGCCAAGACATCAGATTGCAAAAAACGTACCGACCCGGACAGGCCGCTTGAGCAGTTTTGTTCATAGCTCAACTACGTATAGCTTCCGTACGACCTTGTTTGTAACCACTAGTGTAATTTGGTGGGCTGCAACGTTTATACCAGCCAAAGCACCTTCCAACACAGATGTACAGAAGTGAAGCAGTTCGTAACATTGAATTGCAGCACAAACACACCCAGAAAACCAATTAGACGTAGTCACAGGGGTAGCGCCGGGCGAAATGAAACCATTTAATCTTCCGAAAACGTAATTGAGCTTCAGAGCGTCGATTTATCCCGCAGTTGACCGGCCCAAACATAAATGACGATCGCACCTCGCTGCAGCCATGCACACCACACCCAACACCACAACTGGATGCACTGGGCCTGTTTCACCGTCGCATCCCACGACGGGCGGCCGTGGGCCGGCCCACCCACCTGGAGACACGACTGGCTGGGTGGCGGCTGCTGCTGCAGCCAGCGGCGGCGGCGGCAGCGGACTGCTCTGAGCGCGGACCGAGCGGCCGGCGCGCGGGGGCGACGGGCCGCTGCGCGCGCCGCCGCCCTCCGGCTGTCCGGGGCCGGGGCCGGGGCCGGGGCCGGGCCAAGGCCGCACCTCCGGCTGTCCACGGGACCTGGCGCCGGCCTCGGCGGCCGGCAGCGGGCTGCTGGTGCCGCGAGGGCCGCAGCAGTCGGCCTCGGCGCCCAAGCGCAGCTTCAGCACGCCCGTCTCGGCGCCGGAGTCGGCAGACAGGTCGTCGCCGGAGCCGGCAGCGGCGCGCCGCTCGCGCTGCTGCCGCTGGCGGCGCTTCTCCCGCGCCCGCTCCTTGGCCCGCCGCAGCCGGGCGCGCTCCTGTGCACACGCGGACAGAGTTAAGGCCCACGCGACCCTCAATTAGGTATGCGCGGATGGTAACATATCACCACTTTTCACTCAGCCAACACACAAACTTGACAGCTTTTCTGCCTAATATATCCAACATTACCGCGATATGTACCTTAGGCATATGGTTGTACAATATCCACGCATCGGAGGAACGAAGGGAAAAACTAATTCCAGCCCAGATGGGTTCATCAGTGAAGCAAAAACACGACACGGCGGGCGCCAATGCGTACACATGCACGAGTGCAGCCGCTCCCGAAGGCGACCGACCGTGCACTGACCTGCTCCTGCAGCACCTTGGCCAGTTCGCGGTCCTGCGCCTCGATGGCGGCCACCTTGTCACGAGGCATGACGTCGCCGCGCCGCTTGGTCTCCTGCTCCTGCAGCAGCCGGGCTACCTCCTGCGGCACAAGCGCCCGGTCAGAGTCGGCCGGCCCGCCAGGCGGCACAGGGTGCCGACAAACATGCCCAAAGACGTTGAATATGTGCTGTTTGGAACTAGTCTAGTTACAGTATCAGAGGGTGGAATGGATTACAGCCTGCACAGTTAATTGTCGCCGACTGACTTGCTACCAGCCGGCCTTAACAACCTAAATAGGTGACAAACACAAACCAAACCAGCTGTTTGGCTAACGAAAAAGAGCCACAGCTGCTGCCTGCGAATCCCACTTCGACCACAGTAACCAAGCAGGAATACTGTAACCATTCACCACTGCCTGCATGTCCATGACTACCCTCTGGTGCCAATACTGCCCTCTACTGCCTTTTGTACACTGCAACCATTCGCCACTGTACCGTACAACCCTCCGCCCTGCTTGTCCGTGACAGGCCCCTCCCGTTCTCCTCGACTGACCCTGTCCGTGCCACCCTCCACCGACTGACCCCGTCCGTCCCACCTCCCCGCCACTGACCTCGTCCTGCTCCTCCTGCCAGCTGCGCACGTCGTCCTCGCTGAGCGGCTGGCCCAGCGCCGGCGGCGGCGCCATCAGGTCGCTCAGGTCGTCGTCTGAGTACACGCGCTCGGCGCCAGGCGGCGAGACCAGCCGCAGCTCGCGCACGGGCGCCTCCAGGCCGAGCAGGCGCGCCTCGTGCTGCACCTGGCGCTCCTCGCGCTCCTGGCGGCGCCGCTGTCGCTCCTCCTCCTGCAGCCGTGCCGCCAGCTGGAAGTCGTCCAGCTCCTGGCGGCGGCGGCGCTGCTCATCCTGTCGCTCCACCTCCAGCGCCAGCCGCCGCGCCACGTCCGCGTCCGCCGCGTACCTGCCGCCAGGACGTGTCAGGGATAGGGCCACACGCCTGCTGCACGGACGCGTCAGGGATAGGGCCACATGCCTGCCGCCAGGACGCGTCAGGGATAGGGCCACACTCCTGCCGCTAGGACGCGTCAGGGATAGGGGCCACACGCCTGCCGCCAGGACGCGTCAGGGATAGGGGCCACACGCCTGCCGCCAGGACGCGTCAGGGATAGGGGCCACACGCCTGCCGCCAGGACGCGTCACGGATAGGGGCCACACACCTGCCGCCAGGACGCGTCAGGGATAGGGGCCACACGCCTGCCGCCAGGGCGCGTCAGGGATAGGGGCCACACGCCTGCCGCCAGGACGCGTCAGGGCTAGGGCCACACGCCTGCTGCACGGAGGCGTCAGGGATAAGGGCCACACGCCTGCTGCTAGGACGCGTAATGCCCAGAGAGGCCAGGTAAGATCGCTCACGTGACATGCAGACACACCAGAAGAAGAGCTGTGCCCGTGTGCCTTCTAGAACGGACAAAGCGAGGGGATAGGGCGTGTGCCTGCCGCACGAACACGCCAATCCCGCTGCACCACACAGCTGCTGCATAAGCCGTGAATTCACCAAGCAGAGGGCAGCTCCTGTGCATAAATGGTGCACACACAGAAACTAGCAGATCCTGGAACCACATATTTACACAGATGCACTGACAAGTTATGTTACAAACTGTCACGGCAAGAACAGAGGATGCTGCTAAAAGCTGTCACGACGAAGCACCTGGGAAAACTATCTTTTAATCCAAAAATCCAAAATAGGAAATATTCCCCCTAAAGTTGGCACAGATACATGATAAAGTTGAGGAGTGTGGCACATCTATGGCACCAAATTATCCACCCAGAGGAGCAAACAGAACTGACAGTGATACTGTGAGTGGCACAGTCCACAGTCACGCTGCGACAACTGCACTCACTGTTCATACAGCTTCTGCTCATGCAGTGCCTGCTTGTAGGCAGCACGCTCGTCCTCCTTGAGCTGCTCGCTGCGCGCGCGTGGCACGTCGGCGCGGATAACGCCGTTGCGTAGCCGGTTCTGCTGGTAGTGCTCCGTGATCTCCTCATCCTGCAGTCGACTGGCCAGCGCACCATCCTCCTTCACCAGCCATTCCTGCACCACTGCGGGGGTGGTCGAGGTGGCACAGTCAATGATAAGCCATGGACAAAGGTGGGTAGGCAAAGGCAAGAACTGGCTCTAACATGACTACATGGTTGGACATCATAGAGCTTGCAGAAGGTGAGCTGGCATGGCTGTTTCCCTGCTCTAGGGGAAAGATGCTGGACTCATACTCCAACAGCACTGGGTATGAGTCCCATGGCTGGGGATAATGATTGGCCTAACTGACATGAAAGGTTAGCTGGTCAATGACCAGTGAGAGTCAACCCAGGCCCAGGTCATCAGCTTAGGGGCAGACATTATGTGACACAAACAACCTCCTGCGTTCCTGCCTGGCAAAGGGGTGGAGGCAAAATTATCAGTTGAATTAGACAACATGACTTGAGTGGTGGGTTCCAGGCACATGTAACAAGCTAGGCTTAGCAGGTGAGTTACCCCCAAAGCCCCAAATGAGGCTAACACTACTGTCTTATCTATCCCCAAAGCCATTCATGCAAACTGTTTAGAGTGAATATATTTTTCTAAATCCTGCTGATGCAGTTGCAAGGGGTGGTGGGCAGCATTAAACTTATTTTCAACACATGAGAGGAAAGGGGAGACAGGGGCAGATGCGATAGAATGAACATACCATTATTCATAATCAGTTCAGGAGGTGGAAAGGTGGCAAAACCCACAGTTTTTGCTGACTAGCCCACAAATGCAAACACAAAATAGGCTTTCACCATTGGACAGCAGATACAGATGTCTAAGTGTAAGAAAATAAACCAAAGATTGTATTATTTATCCACAAACATGAAATATAAGCCTGGACTGGTGGCCTGTGGGCAGCAACCATCGACCATCCTATGCAACATAGCCCAGGCTTACTGGCATGCACTCATGGTCAAGCCCTTCATCAGCCTGATTTCCACACTAACCAAACTAAGTTGCAACAAAGAATGCTAGCAGAAACATTACACACATAATAAGTACACACTGTAAATTAAAGAATATACAGAAGAACTGACCTTAACATTGCATCATAATAGAAATTAGATCAAACAAAATCCCACATATAAATTAACTCTGCAGAAATGTTAATGTGTATTATGAATAAAAATTGGGAAGTAGAAGTGACTTACCTTCATTGACCTTCCCAGACCTTGGCATGGTCTCTGTGGGTAGTTTTGGCTGGCGCTCCATCCTGGTGTGTTCATGTCACACCCAGCTGCGAGAAATGTGCTGAGTGTTTTCTTAAGGTCTCAATGCATAAATTCTAAGGCAATACCCACACCCCAACTCAAATATCATTTTAAATTGCTGGCTCCTCAATGCCTTCTACTTATATCTTGTTAATTTACAACAATGCTTGCATGCCACATCACCTTGCAGTCAACAATGAGGCCCTACTCTGACACATCACAGTTTATCCCTTCACTAGCAGCAATTCATGGCATGTAAAGCACAACACACTCCCTCCCTACCAGCTCACAATACATGTAATGCCATTTTTACTTGCTTGTAAATCACTGAAGTAAGTGCTATGATTCATTCTAAATTGCATTCTAGGAGAATGACAGTATCTTTCTCTGAGCAAATAACCAATCAGGAGCAAAAATCAAATGCAAAAAAAAAAGAAAACTTCCTCATACCCAACAAACTTATGTCTGAGCACCCTTTGAAACACCCATGCCCTGCCTGAGAAAGCATTATCATGCTGAGTAACCTACGGATAATAATGAAACAAGTTAAAACCTTATTGGTAACTGTAAGATGCTATTGGAAACTGTAGTATGTTTTACTTCACATATCTCCAAAGAATTCTAACATTTCAGAATAACTGAACCCTACCTATCCCAATGACCACATACGTTTTGTCATATGCACGGCACAAATGTTTGGACGCTTATCCGGCAACACTGAGACAAAATAGGTGCGGCGCATCCCGGCTTTCACTTCCTCGCGACCTGGAATGTGTCACGCTGCCACCCGCATGCAACGTGACGTGACCTGCCTGAAACTGTTGGGCAGAGCACACCTCACCATACACCAACGACAACCAGATGCAGTCATGAAACGAACATACCCCACAGCTCCGCAAGTGCGCCGCACACGACCGCCTCCACCGTCCCGAGCGCTCGCTGTTCACATTCATCAAATGAATCAGCTGAGCAAGGTCGGCCAGCTGGTGACGCTGGGCGAGGCCAAACCTCGATCTGCGTGATGTCGTTTCCCGACTGGCTTGGAATTTCCGGCCTGTCTCGAAATTCTAGCCCAGCTTCTCAAGGAAATCAAAACAACACGGAACAACGTTTGCGGTTCTCCGTATGGCACGTTTTCTGTCATTATATACCTCCCTGTTGTGTTGCCCCTTGATTATCCCATTAACTCTGGAAAGGATCAGACCCAGGCAGCGGCGTAGGCAGGAGGGCGCACAAAGGGCACGTGCCCACCTAACGGGCTCCTCGGGACCTACGATCAAGGGCCCGATTTGAGGGTTCGAGGGGCCCGAAGGTCCGGCCGGAAGTCGCATTCAGAGGCTCGGCCAAAATGCCTGGGCGCTTCATTGCCATTCAGAGGGCCCTGTACGCTGATCACGGGGCCCCTGGATCGATAACGGCCTTTATGTCTGTCAAGCAGCGCTACTAACGCACAGCGGCTCCGTGTCGGCGTGGGCATGAGGGCTCATTCCCCGAGCAGAAACAAACCAGGAGCCAGCAATTTACATCGATCGGGGTCCCAGCGTCTGTCAGGGGCCCACAGCGCCTGATAGCGGACTCAACTCGTGTTTGCAAGGGGCAAGAGTCGGCTAGAGGCAATATCCAAGCAAACCCGAAGAGCCTGGAGCACCTATGGAGCCGACGATCAAGGGCCCGATTGGGAGAGGTTAAGGGCGCGAAGGGCTGGTCGGGCCTAACACAGGGGCACTAGCCCGCGGGGATGGGACCTCAAACGACAGTCAGAGGGCCTTTTGCGCTGGTCGGGACGCCTGAGCAGATATGGGCTTATATGTCGGTCAGGCACCACCCGTACTGCGCGGTCAGCTCCGTGTAGGGATCAGGGCTGAGGGCCCACTTCCCAATCAGCTACAAAGCCGGGGTCAGTGATTTACAGCGTCTGGGGTTCCTATGTCTGTCAGGGACCCGCAGTGCCTAAAAGAGGGTCATGTGTTCGCAAGGGGCTCGAGCTGATCAAGGGGAGTGCCCGATCAGGCCCAAAGAGACCCAGCGGAACCAACGATCAAGGGCTCGGCTGGAGGGCGTAAGGGCCCGAGGGACTGACTGTACGTCACATAAAGAATCGTGGCCCATAGGATCGTGACCGAAAATGCCAGTCAGAGGTTCTCTTGCACCGTTTGAGCGTCCACTGAGATATCTGCAGATGTTTCGGTCGGCCAGAGGTCACGAACACCGACCAGTTGGCACCCTGCCAGTCTGAATCCTGGAGGTCATTTCCCAAGCAGGAGCAAGGTCGGGGGCCACGACTTGCACTGGTCTTGGTCCCTGAAACAATGGTTAGGGCCCCTGTGCCGGTCAGGGCCTACCATGCCTCACAGTGGTTCATGCGTCGGCTACTGGCTCCGTCGGTCATGGTCTTTGTTTGAGGTGATCCGAAGAGAGGCCAAAGGGCCCCTCGGGACTAAAGATAAAAGGCCTGATTGGAGGGCTGAAGGGCTCGAAGGGCTGGCTTTAGGTCACATTAAGGATCTCGCCCGTAGGGCAAAGATCTCAAATGGCAGTTGGAGGGCCTCTGGTACCGACTGGGGACCCCTGAGACAGAGTGCTCTAGCTATTTCAGAGTTACTTTGGCCAGAGATCACCGACACCGAACAGTTGACTCCGCGTCCGTCTGGCTCTTGGCGCCCATCTCCCAAACAGGGACAAGGCCGGGCCCAAGATTTGCATTGGTCGGAGTACCTGCAACAATGTGGGATAACTGTATCGGTCAGGGGGCTGGCGTCTAACAGGGTGTTCTGTGCCAAAAAGGGACCTCGAGTCTGTCAGGGAAACATTTGCTCAACAGGGACGGGAATGGGACTCCGAATGGCAGAGGACCTCTTGCGTTGGTCGGGGCCCTCTGACAATGAAAGGAAACATTATAACTTGTGATGAGTGTCTACATTGAGATAATGGAAGATTCCTGTGCCAATCAGAGTCCCAATAGCCGAACGGTGCGCCCTCCAACCCAATGCCGGCATGGGCCCGTTAAGCCAAACTGGGAACTATGCGCCAAGTGGTAAACTACATGTGGCGACCAGGGGTTTTGTTGTGTCCTATTAGGGCTCCTGCTTCTACCCGGGGCCAACTACGCGGGTAATAAGGCCTTCTACGTCAGGGAGCGGAACAAAGTGATATGATGTATCCCTCTACGGGCCTCCGTACCGACCAGGGGATCCCGTCCCAGTGTCGCCAGAATGGCAGCTGGAAGACACCCGCGGTGGGACGGAATGGCATGGAAAAGATCCTGACCGGGAGCAATATTGTGCTTGTGCCTGTGTGCCAGTGCCTGGTGTTCTTCTCAAGAGGTCCCTTGCCCAAAAAGAGATAAGACGTCTCATAAGTGTTGAAGAGAGTGTGTCAAACCAAATTCAAATGCGAGCAAGGCCTGCCCATGAGCGCCTTTTGATTGATGAGCGCCATTTGATGAGCGATTCTTTTGCATCATTGATCAGCGAAACAAATTACATCAAGAGGTTCGAGCCTACGCGCCCGAAATATCGAGAGTCATGACAGCGGTGGTCTGGATTGCAGTTTCCGTCAAACCGAATGGCGTTGGCCATTGCAAGTAACACCACGCACCCCGCGCGAGAACGACCGTCGTAAAATGATGGTTCCGAATGCCTTTCAGAATGAGCTCATAGCGTTGGAAGATGAGACTAGGCCTTTTTTAATGCAAATGTGAGGATGTCCTTTTGGACAGATTAACAGTTGCGACAGCACGAAAACACAAATTCTTTTTTCACCCTTCTAGCTTCACCACCAGATTCCTGTCAGCAACAGTACGCGGTGCTGTAAATGCCAATCCGTTCTTAACATCAGTCTAAAAACCGCACCGGTCCAGATACGTCCGGACTACCTCATAAATGTACGATTTGATGCCCCAAAGCGTTCAAAGGTACTTCTTTCAGACGCGTCATCATTTTTGTCCATCCGTTGGCCACGATTTAGCTTTAGCCACGGGGGCAACGCTGCGCGGCCTTCAGAGACTGCAACGCTTAATATGGAATTTTGTGTTGCAAGATTTGCGAGCACGCATGTTTCACTATGTACAACCACGTGCATAAGTGGCATTGCTGATAGATTCCGACTGAATGTCGAGCATTTCCAGACCAACATCGCTTGGCCGAGTGAGTTCATACAAATTGTGGACCTATTTCGATTTACAATCTACATTGGCGGGGTCCCTAATATCTCAATAGAACCCAGATAAAATTCTGACAAAGCTACTGAGTTTTCTAGGTTTAAAAAGGGTGGAATGCACCATTGTAAAATGAAGCACGCCGGATATTTTTTTCATGCAATCGCTGAATGCATCCTTTCATCAGATTATTAAAATTCAGTCAGAATTTATCTTGCGGCAGCTTCTGGCTTCTATAAATATCAGAGAAAATCATGTTCACATTAACGAATGGGCCATATCCAGCGACTGTTTTTTTGTGGTGGGGGGGGGGGGCTTTTTACGATCAGGGGGTCCTTCGTTACCCTGTGGCCCCGCCCGCACACTTGCAAAGGCTTTGGCTGCTCGCCTGGACCCAGAGTAGTAGATACTGTGTAGTGTTATTTCGGTAGTTAATGACACACACACACACACACACACACACACACACACACACACACACACACACACACACACACACACACACACACACACACACACACACACACACACACACACACACACACACACACACACACATGTGTGTGTGTGTGTGTGTGTGTGTGGGCGTAGACCGATGATAATGAAACGATGATTTGTGGATGTTTCAATATTTCGAAAGACAAAACAGAATTTCTGGCAAAATATGCTGCAAAGCTACCAAATAAGACAGTTACTGTGGTCCTAGGCACCCACTGTTGGCACAAAAACAGCAAGCATAATAAACACGCATTAAACACAGAAGTGGCATGCGTGACGAAGTAGGCGCTGTCGACCCATAATCAAACGGAACA